TTCGATACGTCAAATCACTCTACTAGTACCTTTTTAGGTGAATATGTGATTATAATGCCTTACACCTACGGAATGATTATGCTTTTCGTGACCGGTATGCCAAATTATTTCGCTGAGTAAAGTTTTAGCGAAGTCCGTAATTTTGTTATTTGGAGTCGTTGTAGGTGAATTAGTACCAAAAATTGACAAAAAGATTGATTTTTCATCTGTTAATCGTTTAAGAAGAAGTTCAAGCCAATTATAGTTCTGCCGAAGTATAAAAAAGGCTTCAAAGTGTTCAAGGTTGAGATCGCAAAAAAATTTCTTCATTGCATCTAGAGTGCATCCAAGGGTTACGCCTTTGCAATCTGCCTTGGCAAACAATAGGTGGGTGGTACAACTGCGTTTCTTGTTTTGAGATAATTAGAGGAATTCTCAGTCTCCTGCGATGGTGCTTACGAAGGATAACAACTTTTAAGAGCGCGTATCATTTTTTTAACGCTGCCACCGCCAAGACCAAAACGATTAGTTGTGCTAACTGAGTTTTGAACTAGTGTCCTGTCGTTGTGGTGTTCCACGTTATATCTAAAATCTTCAATTCATAGCTGCTATTAATTGTTATTAGTTTTAATTTGAAAGCCGCTACAAATAGACAGATTCTAAAATCAGTTGCGAGAGATTAGCACGCTAATCTGGCAGATCCATGATGAATTCCTGCAAACTTTCTTACTTCGCAAAAATTGCGTCAATATTTTTAGGTGGCTACTGTCGCTCTACCTGAAAAGCGTCCACCCGGTACCACGGGCGCAAAGACAGAATTTACCACAAACTTGACTTCTTTAAGTGAGTTTAATGCAGTTATTTTCACTTTAATAAGCAAATTAATTGTTTTCATTCACAGCATTGAAGCCGAATGTGCCATTTTTCAAATATGATATTCGCATGTATATGGTGTACAAAGGCGCAGACGGAAAGGAGCATTTGAAGGAGCTTACGAAGCAAACGAAAGACGAGTGAATACATCATCCTTATGTCTGAAGTTTTATTTAATGATTGCTCAAATATCTTCTTGTAGTTTTCCTGAACAGGAGCGCAAAACAGCAACGGTCATCGTGTACAAACATATATGCAAATCATACCCAGATGTATTCCCGTCTGGCGGAGCCCTGTTTTACGATCGTGCTGCTGTGCTTTTTTCAGCCCAGAAGCAGATCAAATTAGATGGCGAAGTAGGGCGTGCTTCTTCTTTTCTTATCCAAGCTAAATATTGTATCTAGGAAAAAGTTTTGAACCTTGCTGCAAGTTTGGTATCCAGTGCCAGTGATGCAATTGGAGTTCGCGTTGTTATTAAGAAAGTCACGGACGGATTTCAGGTATCTCAGCAACTCATGGTTATACTTTACGAAGTCTTATTTTTTAGGTGACCTCAAACGATCTTTTTAAAGCAGTCAATGTACGTGATATGGAAAAGGATAAAGGTCTTTTGGAAGTGCTGAATTTGGCCATGTCGCAAAAAGGATATATGGAGACGTGAATACTTGTCCAACGTTAACTTCGATCTGGTTTTCACTCTCCCTTTCAGGTCGCAGTTCGTGACGTATGGATCTGGCGTCCACTATTTATTCGATCATCGTGCTCTGGGTTTTAGGTGGGTATTACACGTTTCAGGTGATTGTGGCTGATACGATATTATGTTGAATATTAATTGCTAGTGTATTTTCTTATTGAGTGAAAGATTCATATATAGAGACCAAGAGGTTCCTGAACTCATGGATGGAAAGTACATGGGAATTGGCCTTACGAAAAGCGTCAAGGTTTTGGAAGGCGAGAAGGATCAGAAGTGTGGAGCCTTTGTAGTTGCAGACGGTAGCT